GAATTTGCTTTCTGGGGGGGGGGCCTCGGCGGCGCTGGCTCGCCCGCTCGCGTTGCCCCCCCCCCCCCGCTCCCCCCCCCCTCCCCCCCCCCCCCCGCTGTCAGGTTTTCTTTTGCTTTTTGAATGCTGCACATATCCTAGAGTTTTGGGGGTAAAGATATAATTATTTTATATGGGTACCACAACCACAACATGTACAGCATTATACTGTGGTAATAGGTATGAGCAAGCACAGCACATTGGTAGTACTGGATTACCATTTGTCTGCTCTTTTAGGCTTGTCATTTTAGGAACACAGAGTCATACATTACTGTAACAAATACAATTCAAACATGGCATTTTAGGTCCCTTGTTCATGCTCAAGCATAATAAATATCATAACAAATTCATGCAAAGAGAAACCAGGATAATGATTTTACATTAAAATTGCATACACACATGCCTACACACGCACAAGGTATAGTGATATTTGCTTGTTACAGGAGAAACGGACTGTTTTGCAGCATTTTAAAAACTAACATACCTATTATGACATAGCCTTTCATAGACTACAGTATCTGATGGACTGCATTTAACAAAAACATATTTTTTAAGTCTCAGTAGGACTTTGTTTTGCTTGTTTATATTGTGTGACAGCTACTTAATCTGGTTAAGGCTGGAATTCTGTGCATATTTATCCAGCTTGTCCTGGTAAGTTCTGCAATATACATAAAGATCTTAATTGGGGTGGGCAAATTGTGGCCCTCCAAATGGTTTGCCTACAATATTCATCTGCCCTAGCCAATTTAGCCAATGGTGAAGGATGATGAAAATGAAACACAGAACATTAAGGAGTAAAATTGTACAGGAACAACTACAACAAGAAAGAAGAGCTGCTCCATCATTACTCAGTTGAATAGTTATCAATCAACACTGATATGATTGATTGATTGATCAATTAAATTTACACACAGTATTTCTTCCAGAAATAACACTTAAAATGCAGGGCTCTGCATTCTGATTTACTTAACAGGAAATTTTGCTTGGCCATAAAACTCTTGACAGGATACAAAGTCCATCCCAACTCCCTGACACGCATACCTGACTGTAGAACAGACATTTGCAAACTTACATAAGTTGCATTCACACTCATTAGTTTTAGTCTGTTCTTGTTTATCTCAAAAGAATCACAGGACTGCTTCTCTAGTTACCTATGAAGTACCTGGATACACTCTTTAAAAAACCTAATACTAATATGATAATGCATCGATATCTTGGAACAAGAGTAGAAAAAAGGGAGCACTATTGCTGGAAAATTGCTGCACACAGTTTTTTGAGTGTAGACATGTTCAATCTCATTCTAACATGTATTTCCAAAGAGCCTGAGGTTTGAGAGAAATATGAAAAACATTCCAGATAGTGACTGTATTCATGACCAGGCACAGCTTGAACTTTAACCTCAATGAGGGTGGACATTTTGTGAACCAAAACTGTGATAACAGAACTCCACTAAATCTTTCCGCAGTGTGCATAGTTGTGAAAGGATTTGTGCCACTTTTTGCACACTGGGTTGCACAAATAGAATGACCAACTGGTTGCCTAATGAGGTGTTCAAGCATAATGCACAACTATTTGCACGATCCGTTGCTAAACTTCACTTGTGCAAACATAGATTTTCTCCTTGTGCATAGTGCAGAACCTAGTTTATGATAATACAATATCATTTGTGCTAATGGAAAGAAACAAGTGCATGCTGCCCAATATGCAGAATTTGGCCTTCTGAGTATACAATGCCAGTATTTTGTTTCAGTATACACTCAACACTGACTACAATACAATAATGCAGGTAACATATCAGATTTAGTCATGCTTAGAAGTAATCTATTGAATTCAATGAACACTGTAAGTAATCACTTACTTTCCCATTGATTTCAGTGCATCTACTTTAAACATAACTCAAAGTAATGCATGTGCTAGCAACTATGTCTTGGTCTGTCTGTCTCTAGAGTGCAGGCCCCCCAATCTGGATTGAAATATTAGTTTGGGGGGAAAGAAGGTCTTTACTCTTTATAGTCTCAGTCTGGACTAGGGATCCTGTACTAACACTTTTTATTTTCAACACATTATCCATTTGTCCTAATGGTTCATAGTTTTGCAATGAAATTTACACTCTGGGGAAGATCTGGAACACCACCACAATGAGAGGCAAAGCCCTCTATCCCACACTCAAAGGTCCAAAAGGTCACTGAGACTTTTTCATACTCCAAAAGATGAGGAATGGTTTGAAAGGACACCATTTTGGTAGTGTGGATAATGTCCAAAGAGCCACTATGCAGGCTCTGAATGTCATCCCACTTGAAGACTTCCAGGGATGCTATGAAGAATGCAAAAGCTGCTGGAAGCATTGTGTACACACACAAGGTGCATACTTTGAAGGAGATAATATTCAATTGTAAACATTTTCAATAAAAGAATTTTTAAAATATTCTCATTACTTTTTGGACACAACTCGTTTAACTAATGGAAAGAGGTAGCAAGTCATAACACGCAAAGGAGTTGTGCAAAGGAGTTGTGAAGGTCACTACTCTCAATGACAGTGATAAACTTGACAATTACACTTATTCCATATGATTTCAGTACAACATCTAGGCAAATTTTGACAACACAAAACTCCCTGCTCAGCAATCTTTATATAGTTGCTTTTTAACTTTTCTGCAACTATGTTCAAGGGTATGTTTACTGAGGAGGTAGAACTGTCTGACAAGAAATCTCTTCTTTTACTTTTTGTTACAAATAAATTGCTTTATTGACACCTTTGCTGGCAAAGTTACCTCCACTGTGATTCTCTTCCATTCTCATGAGCTTCATAAGAACTACTATAATGATGATAAAAAACATACTAGACCACCTATAATGTTTTTCTGCAGGAGTCACAACCTTGTCATTTAGACTGAGAGGTGACAAATGTATTATTTTAACAATGTACTGCCATTCTATTTGGTTCAAGCTAGACACTGGTATGTGGCCAGTGGTTTATTTCACATATCATATTAGTCTTTCTTGTCAAGGTCATAGGAAAAAATCCAGCAAAACTGGTAAAATGGTTATATCAAGTCACAACTGAAATTTAATAAATGGTGAAATCAGTCCCATGGAAATTAATGGTGCATGTTACATTTGAACTCTGTTTGACAATTCAGTTATTCCTCTATGACTTCCATACCATTATGAAGAAACATTGCATGAGGCATTGTGTTCTTATGAGGGGGGTAAGAAAAAAAAGAAGGAAATTAAATAAAGGAAATGTTGGGAAATGAAAAAAAAATGACAATGGTGGTGGTCTAACTGCCTTTAACTAACACAAATAGCTCCTGTGCACCAGATGTCTTCATTAGCATTATTTTTCTGACCTTTCTTTTATGAATTAATTACACAGAGTGTAAAGGACAAACAAAAACTGTTTTGACATGAATGGCCACATCATTCTCTTTTGGCCAAACTACAGATGTCATACAGTATATTAAGGATCACTGGTTGGCTGCATTTTGCATCACAAAAGAATTGATTTCCATATCATCATCATCATCATCATGCTTAGACTTAGGAGAAAGAAATCTTCAACATACCTTTTGTGGCCAGCCGGACACAGTTGATTTTGGTCTCCTGTAAATGACAAAATATGGAAAAGCATCAGATGAGCTTGCTTTATTATACATAAACAGGTTAATAACCAGGACTTTCTGTCAAGAGCAGATCCTTCCCTCCCTCTTTTTCTGTACAGCAGACCCAGATGAAATTTAGAAGCACAGTTTTTTAAATTGAAATTTAACACGTTAAAGAACTATATAAATGAAAGTAACACTCTCCTTGAGATAGGGGAGAAACATCAGGTCAGGTAAAGAGTTGGATCCAAGCTGAAACATCCCCTCCTTCCATCCATTTCAGAAAAGCCTCTTACTATTTATTTATTTTATATAAATTGACATTTTGTAATTGGTTCATTCACTTCATCTGTTGCCTCCTGACTGGGTCACCTTCTCCATCATGTCCACTCACAGTTCTGAAATATTTCCTTCCTTTTCCAGGATGGGCCATTCTCAAGCTCCCCCTGAGAAGCTTCACTAAGTAACTCTGGAACTGTAATGCCATCTGCTCCCTTCTGCCCTTCTGTCTCTTCCTCAGAATCAGAGAAATACAAGTATATCTGTGAACACTGCAATGTGCAAGAACTAGGGCCACTGTGTACACTTTCCTTGAGCTGTTCACAAGTACACAGAATCTTGCTTCAGTTTAGTATAACAACATACAATGTCACAGATGTATGCACAGCATCCAGATAGCTTTCCTTGAAATTGTGCATCTGTTGCAGAGATACCATGTGTCTTCATAACTGTAACTCAACTGTAATATTTCATACCTGAGAAAATAATGTTCTCATAACTGTTACAATTGCTATGTGGAATGAGTATCATGGGAAATGATGAGTTCCTGTTCAGAGAGAAACTTTTCTGAAAATTTTGGTATTAAGGATATGCGAAGCAGCCAAACTAGAGCTCTTTTTCAGTTCCGCTTCAATGCTAATTCCGATTCATGTCCATATCAGATTGCCAGCATTAGTTTTTTCCTCTTCAAAAATGTTTACATATTTTCATGTATATTATTCCAAATGTGCATATCAATTGTACAAATTTCTTCCCAACTGAACCTGGGTGGATTTAAGTAGGAGTTCTGTGCAAGCTAGAAATGCATGCAGAAGTGGACTGGGAGGAAAGGAACAGATACCTACACACCTGATGTCGGTCTATTGCCAAAACCATAAGTCCTTGAGGGGAAAACATATTTACAGCTTGAAGGACCTTATTGCAAGCTAGGATGGAAAATTGGAGGAAATAGAAAGATTCCTTGGAAACTAACAAGAAATCCTGGTTTGAGATTCAAGGCATTCTGACCTATAGTTACAATGTGTTTAATTCCCTGAACCAGCTCTGCCACCTGCATTTCCAACTGCTGACACTCCCCTGGGCTGTGCAGGAAGGGTGTCACCCTCCCACTTAACATGGTGCATGGCCAGCGATGCATACATAGTCCAAAGTTCATGTGGTCTATATTCTGTACACCATTCTGAAAGCAGTCTGCTAATCAAACAGTATAGAAATGCTTTAAATAAATATGGTTCTGGAAGTGGATAACTGATCTTGCCACCTTTACTGTTACCTTTGCTTCTACTCATCCCAAAAACACATGTTCTTAAAATAAAGCTACAATTATGAACTGGGCATCTGAGCTCTGACAACAGGAAACCCAAACTTGATCTCAGCATAAAAGGGGGATCAAGTTTCTGAAAAGTGCTGGTGCACAGTATACCACTTGTGCGTGTGTGTGTGCATGCACACATGCATGCATGTGTAAAATACAGTTACACAGCACACACAATGAAGTACAGAGACAGAAAGACAGGCTGAAATCTGGCAAGTTTCATCCCCTTAGAAGGTGAAATTATGCCTGCCTATTCTGCCAAGAAAAAAGAAAATCTTAAAAGGTCATAAATGTTTATGTTCCTTTAAAAATTAAATTCAAATTGTAAAGATGCTAATAGAACCTTCCCCACACTTTGTCTGCTCTTTGGCAAGCTTCACCCTCTAAGGGGCTACTATACCTGAACAGAGGGCCAGTGTCAAGGTAGGCAGGGTTGGGCACCAGTCCAGTGCTCATGCCTTAGCAGGGGCCAACTAACAAAAGTCCTCTGGAGCTGCTCCTCCTCTTTAACACTGCAGGCTGCTTTTTTCACCTGCCTCCTACTCCATTCCAGACAATGGTAGTAGAGAGGAGGTGGAGCCGTAGATGCTGCTTCCTTCTTCCTTGCTGGTTCTCTGTCAAGCTAAGAAGTGGTATCAATGATGCAAAAGAATATGACGTGCCATGACAATGGTGGTGAGAAGGCAGACTTGCTAAGGAAGGGGGTCCATCGCAGGTACCATATCTCATATCTTCAAAAACACAGTGTGCATGTTTTATTCAGTTCTTCCAAAAATAAGAAATATGTGGTATTTGTTGATTTTTCCATTGTAATTCAACAGGAAGACACCAGGCATTTTAAGAAACCAGCAAGGTGAGGTTCTGACTCAGATCAGAGCTGAAGTGTGTTGTTGTTCTGAAGCATCAAATCAAGATTGCCCGTTATATGAGCCAACAAGACAGCTCCAAGGCACCCCATTTTCATCTTGTACACAGCCCTAGCATATACATCTTATGGCACAAAGAAATGTGCACTGATTTTTACTCTGTGTGTTTTTCTGTGTTTTTGCTGTGTTCTCCTTTAAGTTAGTAGCTGGGACAACCCTCTCAGCTTGGAAGAACAGGGTGAACTTGCAGGATGCACATCAAGGCAATTATCAAATCTGGAGGAGTTTCTACAAACTTTTCCTATTCTAAAATTTTCTGTGATTACCATGATAGATTTGAGTTGAAGCAACTGCGTTTTGTGAAGGTAAACTGGAGAGTAGGACTGAATAACAAATGTAAGTACCAGGAGCAGAGGGTTCAAGCAGCCAAACCTTTTGGTGGTAGTGGCTTTCAGGAGGTACTGATGCCCTGGAAAACCCTGTGTTCTTTACATTTCTTAAATGCTGGCTTTGTTGAGAATGATGGATGAAAGTCAGTGTGTTTTTAGTATATGTGAATTGTTTTGCTTTAATTTTTAATTCTTGGGTTGCACACAGGGGTAGCATTTATTCCTTAGCTACATCAATTACCTGTGCACTATGACTCCATATTGCATGAAGTCCTGACTCATTTGTCCTTCATTAAAAGTCTTTGAGACTACAATGTACTTGTGGGATAGATCTAATCACACACACACAAAATAAGTAAGGCTAGCCATCTGATGCCCAGATCAAAGCCATGAGAATGGTGTCTGTAAGTTGCAATGGTGTTCCTTCCCATCTCTTGTTTTCCATTTCTCTTACAAAAGAAAGTTGCGCACTGTGGTGCATTTAAAACAATCCAGGCAGCTTTTGAATTCTTCTGACCCTGATTTGACCCTGCTGAGAACTATACTTTAGAAGAGTTTCTGAACATGTATACTGGAAGCAAGTATATGAACATACTGTTTCCCAAGAGATGTAGGTAATCAAACTCTGTAGACTGCTGACTTGAGCTGTGTATCAGGTCTCAGTTACAGCCAATTAAGCCCTTTTATACAGCCAATACTGATGTGCAGACTTGTCATGTGATCACATCCTACAGGCTATGGTTTGGATAATAATAAGGCATCTGCTATGAAAGCATCTGCTCCTATTTCCAAACAAACTGGGGGAAAGTTATATTTAAATGCCATTTTATGTTTTCCCCTAAAACTTTGCTAGTATTTCCTTTGGAATACATTTACTGAACACAGTCAGTAAGCTACTGGCTTAAAAGGCATTAAAAAGCAATAACAATGGTGTAGGATTTGCACTGTTATCACTTTGCTTTCTAGCAAAGTAAGCCCTATTTCATCATCTCATAGTTTCTGCTACCATTAGCTGTGATTGTTGCACTGATAAAAGAGCATAATTAATAGTTAGTTATATAACAGATGTGCTAAATTGCAGCTGAATTAGACCATAGCCCTCCTCATCTTCTGTTGTACAATGTAATATGAGTCACGATAAAATAGATGTTCATTTGAGTTCTAGTTTGTGGGCTGTTATAGGGGACTTGGACTATTTGGTGTTTTCCCCAAAGGTAGTCTAAATGGTACATGTGTGAAACAGAATGTTAATTGGCTATGTAGTACAAAGAACCTGTTTCTGATGGTGTGAATTGAGTTTCATGGACTTATCAAAAGCCAGATGCTTAACTGAAATGTGTCAGAGCTTGGTGAAAAGAAAAACACAACACAACCCAACCCAACGCAAACCACAGCACCCATTACCCAAGCTTTATATTTATGGTAAAGGGAGAAATGCAAACACCTTTTCAACCTATGGAAATGATGCAATACACTGATATCACATCCAACAACCTATAGAAGGTAAAGGAATGTTGGCAGGCCATGAACTAGCAGAATTCAATTCATGAGCACTTTGAGGAAGTTCTCCCTTCACCACTCCCTAGAACAGGTGAAAATGTGTGTGAGTTTATTTTCTATTCAGTAATTCCCTTCTGGTTTTATACCTTTTGAGAAGGCAATGATTTTACTATTTGTAGGCAGGCAAAGGTGAAGTCAAATCCTCATATCCTTAAATTTATTTACAAAATATTCAAATCCTGATTAATATGGCAGATCCCCACTGTTTACACACTATGACTATACGAAAAATTGTTTTAGTTCATTTTGATTAGCCTTACACAATGTGTTTTTCAATCTCCAGTTCAAGTGCATTTGTGAGATTGCAATATGATTTCTGTACCCTCAAAATGGGTTGACAGCATGTAAACATTTTGAAAATACAATAAAATTTTATACTTTTGAAAAATGCACACAATCATGCTTCCAATCAATAGGAGAGGAAAGTGTACATTTTAAAGATGCACAGAATTGATGTTCACATTTGAAAAAAAAAACAAATGAAAATCAAAATCTCACATATTTATATGACAGAAAAAGCTTAATGGTGGAATTTAGAGAACATTAAAGAGCTTAAATGGACCATTTGTCTGATCCAGAATGACTTTTCTTATGTCCTTATGTTCCTATTCATTACATTTTTATACTGCCCAATAGCCAAAATTCTCTGGACAGTTATCTGCATGATAAAACATGATATTAAAACTTAAACATTCAAACATTTAAAACAGCTTAAAAATGACTTAAAAACAAGTCACAATAAAATTACTATGCCCTGATAAAATTCCAAATTACCCCATCAAATGTTGTCAAATGCCTGAGAGTATGGCTGTGATGAACTCTTTTGGAATTTGTCCCTCCAGAATCTGCTGACTTCATGCTGGACCTGGTCCTGCAAAGCAGGCTGAGCCAAGAGGAAGCCTGCAAAAGCTTGTTGACTCCCTGGTTGCACAACCGACAACCTTCCCTATTGGGAGCAAATGCAGGATGCACAAGGGGCCGCAGCCAGTGAGTGTGCTGCCCACCATTCTTGGTGTCCAAATTTACTTCCTGCTTGCTGCTGCTAGTGGCAGAGGCAGACATGGAAGCATGTTGCTGCACATTCACAAGTGAAAGGCATGCTCCTTAGTCTCATATATTTCATTTATTACTGCATTTAACTCTTACAGGCACAGTTATAAGTCTGTGCTGAACCTCTCACCAATGGCAATTGCCTAGCGAATGGCACTTGTACTACAGTTGTCTCAGCTTGAAGTAATTTACAGAAGGGAAGTTGCTTTCATCTGTCACAGCAAAACAAAAATAGCCAAAATGCTTCGGGGCACCTCAAAGGTTAGGATTTTTATTCTGGCATGAGCTTCCATGCACACAGAAAGCTTATGCCGCAATACCTTTGTTAATCTTTAAGGTGCTGCAAAATTCTTTGCTGCTCTGAATTTGAAGTAGTTACATACTCAAATGTTGAAATAATCCTTGTCAAATGTTGAGAGGGGAGTTTAGAACCCAGAACCATATGTTCTTATCAAAAGGTTGGAGGAGACTGAAGTTCTCCTAACCAGACCTGAGCTAGATCACAGCTAAACTTTGTTCTTAGCACACTTACCCCATTGGCTTTACTGAGAGCCTGAAAATAAATGCTGTAGCTTTTCAGTGGTGAAAGTGGAGCATTCCAATAGCCATTATAGGTTTTGTTGTCTCCCACTGTGAAGGGCTGAGTGACAGGAAGGTTGACTGGTTTCAACTCTGCTGCAAAGTAGTGGGGAGAGTCAAGGCTTGAAGCATTTTTGTAGCTCACTGGAATGGAGAAGCACTCAATGATGTCTGCAGCTCTTCGGGATTTCTGGGGCCTTTCTTCTTTCACAACAAGCTGATAAACACTGGAAGAAAAGGAACAGCAAATTTCAGCAGGCTGACTATGCACTTATGCTAGAGGAATCCCAAATCAAATGGATGCAAGACTATCCAAAGAATTCAACCAGATGACATAAGAGGCAAGACAAACACAGAACGAATGAAGCTGCATGAATATGTCAAGGTTAGTGTATGGTCCATGCAGCATGGACCAAGGATTCTCCACCTGTGCATGCTAAAAATCAGTGAGGAAAGAAATTGCAGATTTACTAGAGACTGGAATTAGAAGCAATCAGAAGCTGCACCTATACTGTGTTGTTTTCTTATAAATATTGTTTACCACAGATGGTACAGAAAATCAGTGTCATCTGCAGCCTCTAGGATCTTAGGGACCTGACCCTTCAAGACATGCAGCTGATCTGACACAATCTTTCTGAAATGCCAGCCAGAGGAATTGTTCAAAGGCTTTGTGTTATTTTGGGTTTGTTTGTTTGTTTGGCTCAAGGTCATTTGCAAAATAATAATACTCTAGATCAAATACATCTAATTCTGATGTTCATCTTAGACCTTTTCCTGTTTCTCAAAATAAGTTATTGGGTTTTCTTATAGCCAGAAGCCCAGCATTTGAGTGAGATAAGTAGGATGAAGGTAACAGCACTGCCTAGGCTTTCAAAAGAACCAGAAACGTGGCTGAAATTATTGTGATGGATATAAAATATAAATGCAGAGATGGAAGGGGCATGAGATGATTCTACTTCACTTCCATACTCCAGGGTCAAGGGATGAATCGCAAGAGACTGTAAAACCAAATGAAAAGCAAAGAAGAACGAACATTCTCAGAATCCTTTAAAAATCTTTTTCCTGAGCACATGCAGTCCAGGAGTAGAAGAAGCAGGACTGGCATGTGTGAGGATGTGAGCAGTAGACCTTCATGAGTGCTCTCAGGAACTTTGTGCTGACACTTGTTCAGGATGGATGCCTAAATCAGGCTGCTGTGACTGTACACTCTAGCCAATACAGACCTTACCACTGTATTTCAGAAAACTGACCATACAAAACCTGTGCCCTTTCATCAGTAAGTATTCTCAGAATCATCAGAAACTATAGCTTATTTGCAGCGTGTGTCATGACTCACTTCGTCTTCCTGAGAAACAGCTTTAGAACCTGAACACATACAGTAATAGCAGGGATAGAAACTTCCAGTTTACAGGCCAAATTGGCCAGCCAGTCCTTCCCATCTTGTGCACAAAGGTTTCTAGTAGGTACTCTCTTCTGACCTACACCTGCTTGAAGAAGAAAGAGAGGGTGGCTGACTGTCAACTTAAGGAGCACTCTCCAGGGAGTTTTTTCACCTTTCTCACCTTTCCAATTCCAAAAGGAAGTAAGCCAACTCACAGGGTAGCCTGTATGTGTGTGAGAGAGTATATTTCTGCATGGTTTGTGAATGTTGTATTTAGGAATGAGGTCTGGACAAGCATATCTGGGCTGCATTCCATAAAGGTGCTTGCTCAGAGCATATCAGTCCTCAGGCAAAACCATTATGGCCACCATCCTGCACTAAGGTTCAGATTCAAAATTCACAGGATGTTTACTCCCATAGAGTCACATGGATGTTAAAAGTTACTACTTTTCTACAGCTTGATATCTATGCATACATTCTTTTATTTCTATTTCTTCTACGTTTGGTTTTAGCATGAATTATTTTTGGATGTTTAGCTAATTTTAGTTAATGTGACATTTGCATTATTCTGTGTGTATTATTATTTAATTTTATTATGACCTTGTTTTAGAGAAATATCTTGAAATGCTATATTTTATGGTGCACATTTTTCTGATGTTGCTCTAAATCATTTTACCATGGAAATGGTACATACAAATAAAGTGATGATAGTGACAAATGAAGAAACTGAAAGCTACATGGATTATTATATGTCAACATTTGGTAAGTTGACAATCCTTATATAAACAGGATGCCATACTGTGTAGATCTCACTCAACAATGATGGAAATGAAGTATATGAAGGACAGATTAGGTTTATCTATCAAGAAGTTTAATATTTATTTGCTTGTTTGGGTTGCACCCCACCTTTCTACGACTTCTACTAAGAACATTGGCACTCAAGGAAGCATACTATAAGTAAAACATGACTGAAACGGAACATTAAGATACAATAAAAACAGCAACAGCAGAATAAGAACAGTACACAACCAAAAGGACCTGTTTACTTGACAAAGACATGGCTCTCGCTATCTACCTTTTCCCTCTCCAGTAGACTAAGACAAAACATTTGAAGCACCTGTATTCAAGTGCTACAGGTTACAAAGCAGCACAAATCAAAGCACATTATCTTTGAGATGAGGGAGAAGCCTCTGTCCATGTGAACAGTTGGATCCATGCCTCAATATCTCCCATCCCTTCCTTTCAGAAAGAGTCTGTCTTCACCCCAGGATGGATTCTGCTGCTTAAGGGCTAGGTGGCAGGACTGTCAGACTAGTTTTGCAACAAGGCCCCACAGAAGCCACCCCCTAACCTTTGTGGACTTCCTCTTGTGCTCATCCTTGTCTTAAAAAGTGAGCCAGCTGCATGGTTCATTCCTGCTCAGGTCAGATGCCTGCTGCTAGCAGGGTTGTGCATGGAAGCACTTGATAGGTTTGCTGGTGGTAGGAGAGACCCCACCATCACCCCTGCAATCCTGCAGTTTGCCTATGATGCATGTGTGCGCGTGCGCATGAGTGTTTCACTGAATGTGTAGAGCCCATCCACTTGTCCAACAGCAAATGCAGCTCTTAACCTGAAAGAAGTTTCCCAGGAACCTCCACTTGAGTCCTCCCAACTTCTGCTTTTAGAACATTAAAAGTTGTGAGGTCCAGGCAGACACCAAATGGATGAGCCTAAAGGCACTCACTACTTTTGCATATTTGGTAAGATTTGGGGCTGAGAAAAAGCAGAACTTGACAAATGATTAAATGGGGCAGAGTGAAAAGTTTTATTTATTTATTTATTAAAACATTTCTATGCCACTCCTTGCCGAAGCCTCGGGGCGGCTCACAGCACAAAATGAAATACAATAAAATACAAAAATAACAATATAAAATTAACAATATAAAATAAATAACAATATAAATATAAAAGAAGTCGCCCTGGCCAGATAAATAAGCAAATATTGTTAACAATTAAAATTACGCTTAAATAAAAAGGTCTTCGCCTGGCACCGAAAAACAAATAACGATGGCGCCAGGCGGACTGTCTGGGGAGCGCATTCCATAGATTGGGCGCCACCGCAGAGAAAGCCCTCCTCCGAGTACCTACCCTCCTAATTTCTTTCACGTAGGGTTCCCAGAGAAGGGCCTCTCCCGCAGATCTCAAGGGGTGGCCGGGCATATATGGATGTAAGCGCTCCTTCAGGTAACCAGGACCCAAGCCGTTACGGGCTTTATAGGTCAACACCAACACCTTGAATTGGGCCCGGACTTCAATGGGAAGCCAGTGAAGCTGACGGAGGACTGGAGTCATGTGAACATAACGCCCCGTCCCCATCAGCAGCCTGGCAGCTCTATTTTGAACCAATTGAAGTATCTGGACCGTCTTCAAGGGTAGACCCACGTAAAGCGCGTTACAGAATTCAAGGCGGGAAGTCACCAGTGCGTGTGTCACCGTCGCCAGGCAGTCGTACTCCAGGTAGGAGCACAGCTGATTAATCAGCCGAAGCTGAAGGAAAGCGCCCCTTGCCACCGCTGTCACCTGAGCTTCCAATGAAAGCTCTGGGTCGAGGAGCACTCCTAAGCTGTGGACCTTGTCCCTAAGAGGGAGTGAAACCCCATTCAGGACCAGGTCAAATCCACCCTCTCCGAAGCCCGATCCTCCAACCAACAGGACCTCCATCTTGTCTGGATTGAGCTTCAGTTTATTGGCCCTCATCCAGCCCATTACCTCGGCCAGGCACCGGTTCAGCACAGCCACTGCCTCACCTGGATTGGTGGAAAACGAGAGGTAGAGCTGGGTATCATCAGCGTACTGATGATTCCGCAGCCCACACCTCCTGATGACCTCTCCCAGCAGTTTCATGTAGACGTTAAACAGCAAAGGGGACAAAATGGACCCCTGTGGTACTCCATGGCATAGCTGCCATGGCGCAGAGCCATAGTCGCCCAGCACCACCTTCTGGAATCGGCCATTGAGATAGGAGCGGAACCACTGCAAAGCAGTGCCTCCGACCCCCAATCCCGCTGGCCTATCCAGAAGGATACCATGGTCGATGGTATCGAAAGCCGCTAAGAGGTCCAGGAGAACCAACAGGGACACACTCCCCCTGTCCTTCTCCCTGCACAGGTCATCGTACAGGGCGACCAAGGCAGATTCAGTACCGTACCCCGGTCTGAGGCCGGACTGAAATGGGTCCAGATAATCAGTTTCATCCAAGAGTGCTTGGAGTTGTCCCGCCACCACCCGCTCTAACACCTTGCCCAGAAATGGGATGTTGGCCACAGGTCTATAGTTAGTGGCCATCTCTGGATCCAGTGATGCTTTCTTCAGGACCGGTCGGACTACCACCTCCTTTGAAGGGGCAGGCACCCGACCCTCCCTCAGAGAAGCGTTAACCACTTCCAAGATCCAGGTTCCAATCCCGTGCTTGGAATCTTTTATTAACCAAGACGGGCAAGGGTCCAATAGGCAAGTGGTGGGACGTACTCGTCCAAGCACTTGTCCACATCATCGGGCCGCAATAACTGAAATTCATCCAATAATTCTGGACCAGACGGCAGCATTGGCGTCTCCCCAGAAACCTCTGATTCATTAGTGGTGTCCAGCTCGTGACGAATCTGAGTGATTTTCTCCCTGTAATGCCTGGCAAAGTTGTCACAGCGGGCCTTTGAGGGTGGAACCAGATCTTCCTTAGGACCCGGGAGAACCAGGCCTTGCACCACTCGCAAAAGCTCCGCCGGACGTCATTGTGAGGAGGCAATGGAAGTGGAAAAAAACCTCTTTTTCGCTGCCCTCACCGCCACAGCATAGGCCCAATAGTGG